ACAGCCGCCTCCCTTTGGTGCCGCATCCAAGAGGGGGCTCCCCATCCCACCACGACAATGGGGCAACATCTATCTACAAAGAGGGGTGACCCAGGGGTGCTGGGGGTGACGGGGGGTCCCCACCCCACATTCACATGATGTCGTCCAGCAGGTTGGGGCTGGCCACCCAGTCGAGGGTGCGGGGCTCAGAGGCTGCCATGATCATGCACATGAACTGTTTGCCCGTCCTCTTGTCAATGGGGTAGATGGTGGTGGGGGTGAAGCGCTTGTTGCTCTCCACGAAGTCGCAGAGCTGCTCGTAGACGGCAGGGAACTCGTGACGCAGGAAGACGCCGCGGATGCGCAGCTCCCGCTGGATGTTGATGAAGCAGACCTCCCGCGCCTTGCGGCCCTCCTCCCCCTCCTTGTCAATGTCCGCCGTGCCGGGCGGGGGTGTCAGGATCAACGTCTCCATGTCCCGCTCCTTCTTCAGGATCTTCTTCTCGGGGCTGGAGGAGGCTAAGGCTACCTTGGCGTATTTCCTGACCGTTGGCACCTGCGTCTTCGGTGACGGCCGCTCTGGCACTTTTTGGGTGACGGCCACAGTTACATTCAGGAGGAAACATTCATCGGGGTCGTACTGGTTGCCCGTCTCCCGCAGCTCCCGGGCGTACTCCCCCAGGTTGTCTGAGTAGCTCTCCAGCTCCCGCAGGGACAGGTAGGTGGGGGACATCAGCAGGCTCTCCAGCCCGAACTGGAGGAAGTTCTCAGCCGAGCCAGCATTGGGGAAGCCCAGGAAGAGGACGCCACGACCTCGGGAGAGGTAGCCCACCTTGGCGATGCGCGAGAAGGCCTTGTGCACCTCGGCGTTCTCTCGGCAGAACTGCAGGACATGGCGGCAGACACTGCCCACGCGCCCATAGACGCAGCTCTCCTTGTGCGTGTCCCAGTCCTCGCGGCGGCAGTGCCGGGAGCCGTAGTAGGTGTAGCAGCTGTGGCACGACTTGAAGTAAAGGCAGGCGTTGAACATGGTCTCCGTCCGCCGGCACTTGGCGTTGGAGCACATCATCATGTCGTCCTCCTCTGCGCTCAGGTCGGGCGAGCAGTTCTCTGGAGATTTCTCAAAGGGACCGACGGACAGCGAGGCAGGCGGGGGGCGCGGAGCGCCAGCATGGGAGCTGGGGCCCGGCTGCTCCTTCGTGGGGCGGGGTCCCTCGGACACACTGGGGGGGACCCTCCTGCCCTCGCCCCGACGGGGCGGGCCCGGGGCGCTGCTCCTCCGGAGCTGCCTCAGCTGCTC